TTGGTTGCTCTAATACGACATCAAACATCTTTGCCACTAAAAAATCTCTAAACTTATGCTGAGAAGTTAGGGTAATATTTTTATATTATACAATTAATATTTCTTTTGCAGAATCCCCAATTGTTTATAATAATTTTGTGAAATTACTCTTTCAAGTTCATGCCAATTATTTTGGTCAAATTCAATAATGTAGCCACTGTAATTACCTCTGACAAAACTAACATAATACATATTTTCTCTCTTGGTGTTGTCTTTCGCATGCATTGTTTACCTTACCATTTTTACTAGTCCACTTATACACTAATGCTTTGAGCTCAATGGTATATCATCTTAATGAATTATGGGAAAATTGCTTCTAGCCCCCAACTTTCTTACAAGTATTCTGCCCACCCCCAAAGACTTTTTCAACGCTCCCAAAACCCCTAAAAGCAAAGCCATAATCCCTTATGCCACCAAAATACAAAATCCAAGAGTTTAAAATATGTGAAGACCATAATACCATCTCTCTCTCTCTCTCTCTCTCTCTCTCTCTCTCTCTCTCTCATGACGTCATTGTGATAATTTGAAAAGAATTTTGGGGGTAAAAATTCTAGTTTCCTCCAAATTTTTCCAATGGTGTCAACATCTGCGGTGAAACTTTCCTGACGTTCGTCATCGGCGACAAAGAAAACTGCGATCTTGAAGACAGTGATGACGAGTTGCGTTGCCAACCCCCTTAAGTTTACACATTGTTATAATTTTTTAAAAATTGATGACTTGAGATTATAGTAGAGTATGTAAATTTATATATTATTGCTATTTCACTGTAATAAGTTTGTTGTTAAACTTTTGAGTTTGTGGTGAAGGAAGGTTATGTGTTGGTTTTGAAGGTTACGAGTTAGTTCTGAAGTTTACGAGTTAGTTGTCAAGGGTATGTGTTGGTTGTGAAGGTTACGAATTGGTTGTGAATAGGTTATGAGTTAGGTGTGAATGTTACACGTTGATTATCAAGGTTACATGTTGGTTGTGAAGGTTACGAGTTGGTTGTGAAGGCTACACATTGATTGTGAAGGATACGCGTTGGTTGTGAATGTTACGCGTTCGTTGTGAAGGTTACGTCTCGGTTGTGAAGGTTATGAGTTGGTTGTGGCTATTATGAGTTTGTTGTGAAGGTTATGAGTTGGTTGTGACGGTTACGAGTTGGTTGTGAAGGAATGTTACGTGTTGGTTTTGAAGGTTACGAGTTGGTTCTGAAGATTATGAGTTAGTTGTCAAGGTACATGTTGGTTGTGAAGATTACAAGTTAGTTGTGAAAAGGTTACGAGTTGGTTATGAAGGATACGAGTTGGTTGTGAAGGTTACATGTTGGTTATGAATGTTACACGTTGGTTGTTAAGGTTACGAGTTGGCTATAAAGGATACGCGTTGGTTGTGAAAATTACAAATTGGTTGTGAAGGTTACGCGTTGGTTGTGAAGATTAGTTAACAACAATCACAATTAACTCTTTGCCGAGGTTCACAACCAACTCGTAACATTCACAACTCAAAACCTTCACAACAAATTTATAACATTCACAACCAACTCGTAACCTTCACAACAAACGCGTAATCTTCACAACAAATGTGTATCCTTCACAACTAACTCGTAACCTTAACAACCAATGCTTAACCTTGACAACCAACGCGTAACATTTACAACTAACGTGTAACCTTCACAATCAACTCGTATTCTTCACAATCAATGCATAACATTGACAACCAACGCGTGACCTTCACAATCAGCTCGTAACATTCACACCTAATTCGTAACTTTTTCATAACCAACTCGTAACATTCATAATCAACACGTACCATTGGCAACTAACTCGTAAACTTCACAACCAACTCGTAACCTTTAAAACCAACACGTAAACTTTATTCACCACCAACTCATAAGCTTAACAATAAACTTATTACAGTAAAATAACAACAATATATAAATTTACATACTCTACTTTAATCTCAAGTCATTGATTTTAAAAAGATTACAACAATATGTAAACTTAAGGGGTTGGCACGTAACTCGTCATCACCGTCTTCAAGATCGCATGCAGTTTTCTTCACTGCCGTTGACAAACGTCGGAAAAGTTTCGCCGCCGATGTTGACGCTGTTGAAAAATTTTAGAGGGAACTAGATTTTTTTTTCCCGCAAAACCCATTTCAAATCATCACAATAACATCATGAGAGAGAGAGAGAAGGGGTATTATGATCTTCACATGTTTTAAACTCTTAGGTTTTGTGTTTTGGGGCTCTGGGAATTATGGTTTTGCTTTTGAGGGTTTTAGAAACATTAAAAAAAATTGGAGGCGGAATAGGGCTAGAAACAATTTTCCCAAGAATTAGTAAGAAAGCAATATTATGCGATTAATTATTTTTTTATACCTGCAAAAGTTAACATCTCAAAGCTAGCGCTCTCTCTCTCTCTCTCTCTCTCTCTCTCTCCTTTTTCAACTTAAAGAATGCTTTAAGGAGTTGAATGTTTTGATGTTTGACCAAGCCTCACGTGACATTAACGTAGTTTTCTCCCTTGTGCTTTATGGAGAAGAGGACAAAAGGGAATTCAGTCAATGGCTGGAATAAAGCTAAGATTTGAGTTAGGCGATGGCATTATTATTGGCATGCAAAGATTTTGTTATAATAAATATTGTTGTGTTTCTCCCCCACCAACAAACCTAATACTTATCATGTCATCTGGAAGGCATCCCTAAGTTCTCCTATATATATTCTACACTGACAAGCTAAAGTGTCCTTTGACTAATTTATTTTTCTAAGTAATAGTAAATTATTTCATGGCAATGATATGTGTATGTCTCTTTATTCTATTTACAGCTGGTAGCCTAGCATACTTTCTGAGCGTGTGCATGTTGGCTCACGTACTGATGTACCCGCAGATGTATACCAAAAAGAACAATATCTAGTGTGAAGTAATATCTATCTATGTTTCCTAATATACAATACTTGTAGATTCCATTATCATATAGACAATCTTGTCGAGATTCTCCTTTATGATGCTTGATTATGCTCAGAGAGAAAAGAAAATTATGACCTTGTGAAATCTTCCGGTAAATTCCACAACATTTTTTTTCTCGGCGAAGCACCGAAAAATTTTGCCAACAAGTATCCATGTTGTATAAATTAATAAAAATAATAGCTGAGAATGCTTTACTTTGTATATTTGCAGTTGTAGTTATAGATGTATGTGCGAATTTGTATGTTCAATTTTGTGTAAGTTTTCAGGTAGAACCGTAAAACTGGACATATTTTTGCAAATGCATTTGCAACTGTATTTAATTATATAGTGAAACAATTAACTGGAGCTAGCCAAAAATATCACAATTGAATACATCTGCAATTATAACCACTACAGTTAAGCGAACCAAACAAATGCCGAAATCCATTGGCCAATGGTTTGTCGGTTGATTGGAAAATATAATTAAATTAGAGTGCTTTAGATTTCCTTGCGATTTCCTCCAAAATGAAAGGACGTGGGTTTCTATAAAATCCCCACCTTTTCTCTTCTTCATATAAATCCTTTCTATAAAAATTTGATGAACAAAGTTGCATTTTAGGAAATCTTTAGAAACCATTTAGTTACCAAAGTGCATTGTTAGATGGATTCAATAAACCATTTAGTTACCAAAGTGTGCTGTTAGATGGATTCAATAAAGTTTTTTTCGTAAATTTGGTGAACCAAACAGCCGCTTATCTTCCTTTAAGAAATTGAACGGTGACCATTTTTAAAATATAATAATCTAATTTTTTTTTAAGATGATAATTGACAAATTGAATGTATATGCACCGTATCCACGTACGTTACACTCTGCATGTCCCTTATGTGCTTGGGGACATAATTTAGATTAAATGGCTTTTTTTATTCTTTCAACACTAGTATTAGTCGGTTATAATGACTCATTAATTGAGATGGACTTGGTTAACCTACCTCGGCCCAATTGATTGAATAAGATCAATCATGTTAACTTGAATCTCTCTTTCTAATGTTAGTCCTTTTCATATCTTCAAATCTGTCCCTCAAATATAAGGTTTCTGGATTCTTATAAGTTAATTCTAAATTAATCCCTCTGGTTGCTACTGCTCGTCTCCATTGTTCCTGTTAAACCTCCAACACGGCAACACGGTTTTGTTCTGTAACCCTAAAAAACAATAAGAAATTCTCTAGATTCTTGATTGTAAAGAATTCCAACAATTATTTATAAAAATTAATAATATTGGTCCACCTGCTAACATTGCATAATCAGCTGGACAATAAAAGAGATTCTCCTTTATGACACAGAAAACGACGAGAATTTTCCTGAGCAGAAATGTGTACTCGGTCCCATCACTGACTCGATTTTGGAGGGGGGGGGTAAGAGGGGCCCACTGCTTTACTTGCATGCCATGAATTTTTTCCTCTGTGCGTCGATGCATGAAAGAGAACAACCACGCACCGAACTGGCTCCCAATGCATGCAATTCCACAGAAAAAAGTTATAATTACTAATGGCAGTAGTTAAGAGCTTAAGAATCATCACGGAAGTTTCTTCTGCAGTCAAGAAACCAGGGCTCACAGTTCTTCGCTAGCTGTTGCGATTGACTATCCAGGTTGATCATTGTGCGGATAGTTTTAGAATTGTTTGGACTGTGTAATTATTCCTTGATATTTGAACTGCTATGATGCATTTCAAAATTATATCCATCTCCGAAAATTTCATTTGGAAATTGGAATGCTTTTCCATTTGAAAACCTCCCAGCAGAGGCAGCCTTGATGTGTATCCACCTGTCAGTACGAATCTCAAGGCAAATCTAATAAATATAAAAATCGATGGATAAGAGTTCTTATCAACTTAAGTTCACACAAGAGTTTTACGATATAATTATACATGGAGAATAAACTTCTCACTCAAATTCAATTTAGTTCAAGCATTGCAGCCTCTTAACTGGTCTAAACAAGACTTGCGACACTCAAGAATTCTCAATGGAAAATACTATGAACAGAGAGAATAACGTCTTCCACTTTACATTAATGATCCAGGGAATATTCTATTACACACAGTTGATGGCAACCAATGCGAGTCCAATCGGAATTTCTAAAACAAATATGCATATTTGCAACACCCATAAGATACAAACAGTGTACATATTCTAAGCTTTAACAGTTCTTCGTGAGAATAGATTCACAACTGCAGCAACTATCATCTGAAGGTGAAGAATAAAGCTGTCCTTTGATACAATCAACAAGAACAACAGTATTCTGGTTATATATTAGGGGTCGCCTTCTCGAATTCTGTTCATTTTGACACAATCAGTAACGATCTTAGAATTTGGAAGAAAGTAATTTAGTCCCTCTTACCTCTGAAGGCCACAACTTGTCTCCTGATTTACGAGGAATGATGTGGAAATGAGTCTGAAATCGAAATCTCTTTGTAAAGTTAAGTAGATGACAAAAAAATGATTAAATAATGGAGGTAGTAATATTGTTCTGTAGAGAAGTTATCGAACTTAACGTGAAATATTACTTGTCCTGCAGCTGATCCACTGTTAACCAGCAAGTTGAATGAATCTGCATTCCTCGTGCAATCAGACTGATATAAGTAGAACAGTTTAAAAGAGGATTGAAAAGATAACAGAAGAATCAAAGCACAAAGATTCAGTCTTCAATATTTATACCAGTAAATTTTACAAAACTTACAATACCTAAATCTTACAGCACCAAAGCCTATGAAAGTAATATAGCATTAAGAACCCAAAATGTGGACATGGCATGACATGCATCTTCGTAATAGTTCATAAATAAATAAAAAAGACACTTCAATGACTATGACATCCAGTTTGAGCAACAGTTGTTTATATGCATATATTACAGTTCTTTCATATACATCCATGAGCAGAAAAGAATTATTGTTATGCTTGTGAAGGAAAATATTTTGACAGTTGCATTATGTTTCACTAAAGAGAATTTCATGACACTCGTTTTAGTCAACGATTTTAGAGGAGAAGAGTGAGGTAAAGTAAATGCAAATGATGGTAGGTCATAATTGAGAAACTGAAGGGAAAATACACTTTCACAATTGCTTATTTCCTTTCAACAGATAATCTAGCAAAAGAGGTATGACTTCATTATATGACAGAGCAAACCAAAACAATTATAAGCTATATAGATAAGGAAACCCTCTATGAGGGTGATGAACTGTTGAGGAAATATAATTTTCCATACCTACCACTTTGAGTAGCTTTCATAATTGCATTGCTGAGAAAAGGTACTTTGGAGCACATAGCTGCTACAACCTGCATTTCAGTTTATTAGATGACTTTAGCTTTTTGTATTTTGTGAATTTTCAGGTTCAATGCTCTTGCAAACATACAACTGCTATGCATGAAACACAAAAAATTCAGAAGTTTTGATAGTATGTGCACATGAAAAGAGGGATTTGACGGAAAAATAATAAACATTTGAAAAGGGATGTAGTTTGAAGTTTAGAATAGCCGACTAGGATCTAATCAACTTCTTGGACTTTTAAATTCAACTAATCTAACACAGTTATGAACTGTTTGTTTCATTTTTATGCAAAGCCACAATGAATCAATCGACCACCTTCTATAGCTGACATTTATTGCTGCTGTAGTTAGAACTACTCAAATATGCTGCTTAGACAAATTATTCCCTAGATTATTGACTAAGAGCTTTCCACCAACATAAGGAATAATATCAGTTGACATGCATTGCGAAAAAACGTGTCAATTCTTCCAAGGAACTTTGTGATCGAGAACAACCTTCATCTTGGAGGTGAAAGGATTAGTTTCTCCGAATGATGATGAGCTGACTCATCTTTGTTGATGCTTAATCCCTTTTGAAAACATTATGCAACTATATACGGATACAATATTAGCTTTCCAAACTCAAATACTAGAAACATGAATACACTACATTTAATGGTACTGTTGAGGTAGAAATATAGACACAAGAGAGCATTTTCAGAAGCTAAGATATTTGCAAGCAACAAGACCGACTTAACAATTGTAATTTGCAATATCATGCAATCAATGGGAACTAAATTCCCCGAAAAATAGGAAAAGCTAAACAGAGAGTTCTGTCCCCAAATACTATAAAAGTAATCATCCATCACCGTAAAAAAATCGAAGTTGAGGACAAAATTCTCAATAATCACAATATCTGAGACACTTTTAAGTTATTCATTTGAAGCAAGTATATTATATTTCTATTTGGGTGATGTATAGCAAACAGAACATTATGTGTGAGGGCTGCCTCAAGTTTCAAGGAGCAATTACAGAGAGGAAAGTTAAATGGTATGCTGGAACCAGAAATATACCATTGGTACAACAAATTAATCAAGTAATGTGAAGCATGCTTATGGAAATAATGAGACTCACTAGTGCTGGAGTTGCATCCAAAGAAGGATAATGAGATTTTGTAATGATGAGAGAGTGCCTACAAAAGGAAAAGTAGGAGAGAAAAATCAAGGAAAAATTTGTTAAAGTAACTAAAAATATAATAATATACTCACAACACTAGTTACAAGGTACAAAAGTTGAATAAACCAAATATGGAAGTATCATAAAGGTTCACATGAAAGGTAAGAAAATTTAATCGTGTTAGATGCTCTACAGAGAACAAGATCGTATTTCAGGATATGTTTATTTGTTTTTCATTTTTTTTATTTTTTTTGGCCAATCATATAGCACATGACATATAATTTAAGAGAAGAATACATGTTAATGTTCTCATCTAAGACTGTTGTCAGTATATCTCATGAGAATGAAGAGATAAACTGGTTTTAAGATGGAAACAAAAATGTGCATATAGCATATGTTAGTATATATCTTTACGGTAAATATTAGATTGTACTTCTCAATATTTTTGTATCACCATTAAGCTTATCTCTAGAATAAACTGTTTCTTTCCTCATGACTAGAATATAAGCATGAGAAAAGATAATGCTCCTCATAACCATAGTCATGAGGAATTTAGCTGCTTAGATGTGCTTCTTTTACCACTTCCTGTCATAGAGGAAGAGGAATTCAGAGAAAAGGCGACTAAAATTCAATACGAAAATTCAATACTCGGAAGATACAAAATCAATTATAACCAACTGGATATGTTTCTAGTATACTAGATGATTATTTCTCATCTACAGGATTAAGACCATAAAGACCTAAATTAACAAACCCTCACATGAGTTATGAGTACAAACTCGGTCTTAAGCAAGACAATTAAATTTTCTGAACATGAATTTTGGTTTGAGCAATAAAGAAGTCCTAGAGCAGTTCAACATGAAAGGTAACAGCATAAAGTGCAACTGAACAAGAAATCAGCAATGAGCAAGTGCTGAGCAAAAACTTTCAGTCATATACATTGAGGAATTAGTCATCACAAAGATTCATCACATAGATTTGCAGTACAGAATACCTTACCCATGAGTTAATGGATTGGAATCCAAAATGCAAACACACATATCATCCTCATAAAGCTGTATGTAAAAAATAATCAAGTGATTAGAAACAAAGATAACAGACTCCAATTCTGACTTATGAACTTCCAAAAATAAGTTTATTTCCTGTGATGTTTGAGTTAATAAATTCAGGAACAATAACAAGAGAGCAGCTTCCAGATTCAAAAAGAGCAACTCTTCTTGTGCATAAATAAAGGGAAAACAGGAGCAGGAAACACATGGATTATTTTGCTGCACAGTTAAAAGTGTAGGTGCACATTGCAAACTGACCATATACTCTTCTGAGCAGGCAAAACAAATTTAAACTGGACTATTTTCGCAAAAATATTTTGCCTTTCTTTCCAACTTGTTCATATAATTCTCCCTCCTCCAAGTGAATAATGTCTAACATGTCTTCTAGATGTCTGACATGTCAGCTTAAAATCTTAAATTAGTAACAACTTGACATCCAATGTGGAAAAAAAAAAGGCTAGCAATCGGATCATAAATACGGATAAAACAATGGAGGTTCTTTATACATGCCTACATTTCCTGCAAGCTTCAGTTACATCTTCATTAACACATGATGTACTACATTTTCTCCAACGCCATTCCTCCTCAGACCCTCTCAACTTGACTGATATGTATTGACTAGAAGTTGAAGAAAGACTAGAATATTGACCAATAGCACTGCATACAAAAACATGGAACAAGACAAAGGAGCAAAAAAACCAAAAAAATTAACGTGATTCAAATTTATGGCTACATATACCAGGCACGAGCCTTAACATCCAACTATTAAAAAGGAAGGCAAAAATACATATTCTTTCTCTCATCATAATTGATCTATGTACAGGGGCAGATCTAGAAACTTTGGTCAGTGGGGGCCAGTGTTTTCAAAGGCGCGTGCCTCATGCGCCTTACGATGCGGGCAGTGACGAAGTGCCCCACATCTGATGCAGCAGCGTCTTTTGCGCCTCATGTAGATCCTTACTTTGTGCAGGGTACATGTAGTACATATGCTCATATAGTATTGTTTGTTAACATTTCAATCGAGTCTTTATACTTGATATTTCATATCTTGATATTTCATATCCCAAGAAGCAAAATAAATCTATTAGGCCTTTTTAATAGTCTTCAATTGAGAATCATTACTAATCTTTTGCTTGGATATTAGTCTTGATTTAACATTTGATTTGAAAATTTATGAATTTTGCTACTATGTTGGGTGTTAGCATTAGAAATCAAGGCATTATATTGTGATTTTGTAGTAAGATATTAGTTATCATGATATTTTTCATGTATATTCTAAAAACATGTTCTTTCGTGCTTGATTACATATATTAAAAAATTATGTGTGCGATGTGCGCCTCGCATCACTCGAGCGCGCGCATCGCGTTGCGTCTTGCACATGTGCGCGTAAAGATGCTTTGCGTCCCACATTGCGCCTCGCACATTGACAACACTGGTGGGGGCAAGATTATATGCCTACAAGTATAACTAGTATATGATATTTTTAGCTAAATATTAGGAGTTTTTCAATATTAATGCACCAAATCTTTCATATTATAGAATTAGTCCCCCGAATCTTCATATTTTGAAATTAGTCCCCCAAAGTTTGAAGTGCTTTGAAATTAGTCTCCCAAATCTTCATACTTTGAAATTATCTCTCAAGTGTTTTGAAGTTAGTCCCTCTAGTTAGTACCGGGTTGAAAGATAAGAGCTATGTTTGAAAAAGCTTTCTTAAAACTCGCTTCGAAATATTTTTTAAGGGTAAATGCTTTAAAACTCAAGAGTGAAGATATTTATCCCTTGAAACTTACGCCTCATCACTTAAAGCATAATCAAAGTGTGTGTTTTACGCTTTTTAAAGCGCTTTTCTTTTGAAGTGCACGCTTTAGACAAAGTTGGGAGGATATAAAAAGTTTTTTTACTAACATTAAAGTAGCCATGTGTATCTTCAGTATTATACATGTAGTTTACTTTATTGTGGTTTGCGTCTATACTTCACATATTTAGTTCTTATTTACTAATCATGACATGAACGTATCTATTTGTAAATTTTTTATACCACGATATATTATATATTCATAATTTTTATAGAATTTAAAATTAAAAATGTTTAAGAAGCTTACGCCTCACGCCTTGCTTCATTGAAGGTTCCAACGCTTCGCCTTGCGCTTCCTCTTTTTTAAACATTGGATTTTGGTGACTAATTTCAAACACTTAAGGTATTTAGGAAACTTATTTTAAAATATGAAGATATGGGTGACTAATCTTAAAGAATGACGGATTTGATAGACGAATATCGTGAAAGCCTAATATTAATGACGCTAATATAAAATGTTCTATGTAGAAATAAGATAGAGTCAATAGAAATACCTTATTACAATTCTTTACAATTGTTCCTTCCACATTGCTCGCAATTCGCGAGTAGACTTCTCTCCCGATTACAGAGACGGAGTGAAGGCTGGAAGGGTTTTCGTTTCAGAATTTGGTGGAATCGATTATCATGAGAATTTAGGTATGAGGTCAAGCATTTTGGTAAGTGGTTTGAGTTTGGTCTATTTAGGCATTTATTTTCAAAACTCTTAGGCTAAGAGGTCAATAAGATTAAATAATTAGAGGCGAAATTAAAAATAAGAGCCTAATATTAAATATTAAGCTTACAGGATTAGTGGGGGCAATTGTTCTCACCGCCCCACCTTGTGTCCATCCATGTATGCATATTAGCTGGAGCGTATGCATTGTGCATGCCCAGCTTATAACAAATAAAACTTATTCGTGTTTTCCCAAAACATTTAGCTGATTCTTTGAGGATACATGCCCATCCATCTTCTCACGAATTAGATGACAATCTCAATATGCTTGCTCTTCTCATAAAACATAAAATTCTCAATAATATATATAGTGAACTTATTATCGACATATAATCTCATAAAGAAGTTAGGAGGAAAACGAATCTCTGTCAAGAGGTCTCTCATTCAAACTAGCTCGGGTCACGTTCAACATTTATCGATATTCAAGCTCTACACTAGACTGAGAAACCACACTTTATTTCTTTATTTTCCAAGACACAAGATTTCCCCAAGGAAGGCACAATAGCATGTACTCGCTCGCTTATCAGAAGGTGATTCTACCCAATCTACATAAGAAAACCTACAACACTTCACAGTCTAAATAGAGAATTTTCTTACATGGAGCTTTCTAAGTATCTAAAAATCCTCTGGACGACCTCAAAATGAATCATCCTCGGTGTCAAAAGAAACTGGCTAACTTTAGGGAAGAAAGAAGTTGGCTGCAAATAGGTTTACACGATAAAGTTAAACCCTGGTTGGGTCGCTTGCTCACTTGAAGGCGAGACTAGTTGTAAAAGGATATTCTCAAGTGTATGAGCTTGACTATCAGTCTATCTCAATACCTTCTCTTATGTCGCCAAAATGACTACAGTGCGAGTTCTTTTCTTATTAACTGCGACATTTCTCTACTTCTTTATCAGTTGGACATTAAAAATGTTTTTCTCAATGGTATCCTAAAAGATGAGATTTGCATGGAGCAACCATCAGGCTTTGTTGCTCAGAGTGTGAGAAGGTATGTAGGCTAAAAAATTACTCTATATAGGATTAGGTTGTTAGATGAATAGCTAGGATTAGCGGAAAGGGGAAAAAATATAATGTGTGGCTTTGACACCATGTGAATTTAGTAATCAGAGAGAAAGAATAGAGATGATTTGATCTCTCCTTTATCAGTTAATTTAAAATAAGAGTGTTAATACACAACTATCCACAAGTAATGTGGGACTAAACCAATAAGACCAACTCTTCACAACACGAATAACTAAGGCAATAAGCAGTGAGCATTGCATATACTACTACAAAAGGTCCTCTTAGCAACATTTGAAATGGTTTCCTTTTAAAACCTCAAACAATTTAACACAAATATTAGATATTTTCTTTAAAAAAAGCGTGAGAAATAAAATTTTAGGGCACCGCTTATTTCCTTTTGGTGGGAAAATAAAATTTTTTCACTCTTCTTCACCGTTTATGACCCTACTTCAAGGAACAAAATAAATAGAAAAAAATCCTAATCTTTCAGTTTACCTCTTCATCGTAATAGAGAGAAAAAGCCCTATTCTTTGGGTTTACCTTCTCTTCACTGCTTAACCCCCTTCCTCTGTTTCTACGTTGTCTTCTTGCTTTTTGCGAAACATTATCTGTCTGACCCCTTCCCTTCTTCTCTCCGCCTTGATTAATCCATGAAGGTATTTGGCCAGCATGGCGATATTTGGTCAATTCGTTCATCTCCTCTCTTGCTTAATTATTTGAGAAAACTGATGTAGATTGTTCATTTTTTGTTCCTCACCAATTTTAGAATTTTATGGTCGATTGCAGACTGGGATGTGCGAAAAGATATGTTCATTTCTAATCAACAATTTTATCTTGTTGGTTGATTTACTCCATTTCTTTGATAAAAATGAGCTTCTATGGAGTTTGGTGTTGTTGCCATATGGAACAAGTTGATTATTTTATAGAATTTGGTCAGTTTTGATACTTGTTTTGTATGTATTTTGGCTTCCTAATTCCTGATTTCTTAATTATTTCACCATGCCATTAAATTTTTTCTTTTAAATTGTTGAATTGTTCAAGTACTTTATGATCTCAAGAATTGTATGTAATATGACCTAGGGTTAAGTCCTTATGATGGAATCGCAACAAAGTAGTCATTTTTTCAAATATCCTCGTATATCAGTCTAATATATCTTTTTATAAGGTTCGCTGCAAATTGATATGTTCTCAATATCATTTAACTCTTATAAGCAATTTTCGGGTGATATATTCCCAACATGGCCGATAATATGTTGGTCGATATATCCTTTTGTATGGCTTGTCACGTAACATATAGTTCTAGAAAACTTTTTTAATGCTTTTAGCAAAAATTCTAGCATAATGAATTTTTTTAGCAAAATTTTAATAGGCTCCTTTTCTGAAGCAAGTTTTTACATTTGGTTAATGATCATAAACATATATTATTTGTAGTTT